TGTTTCAATGAGGCATCAAACAGGAATTTGCCCTTCTTCATCTAAGGTTGATATTCGAAATAATCATACATTAGGTATATGACTTTTTAACATATATTTACATACCTATGAGAAGATGATGAAAAACCCATAGAAATAACTTGTTTGCCAATATTTGACTGCGATCAAAACTGGGGCTTTTTTCAGTTGACTTGGAATTTTCCATATATGCATATTATAAGTATATGCTTTTTTTACACAATTTTTATACATACTTTTTTTTACAAAAACATGGTTTAACCAAAACCATATAAATCAAACTTTTAAACTTTATACAGAGCTTAAAACAATGCAACATACTTTCATTTAATCTTAGAACTTTTTAATGCGATTTTTTATAAAATTTTTGAGTATACACTTTTATAGCCTGTTCATTTTCAGTATCATAAAGTGCGAATTCTAAGCGGCTGAAAAGCTGCGTTGATTTTTGTAATTTTTTTTTTCTGAAAAAAGTGTAAAAAGCCGCCAGCAAAAAACAAAAAGTATTTAAAATCAAAGGAATTGTTTAACCGCTTTAAACTTGCACCTTACTGTAAAATCTAACAGGCTATAAAACTGCATACCCAAACATTTTTATAAAAAAATAACCAACAAATTTTTACTTTAAGAACCTTACAAATATTTAGCAAAAATCAGTATGTACTAATTTGTGCCCCCAACTGTATGTGTTACTGAAAACGCATTGCTCTAGTAGATTAGGTACAAATAAGCCAATTTTAATTGGTGATTTCACTCGTGAAAGGCAGCTAGTGAATACACTAGGCCGACGTAATCTAAGAACTTATGAAAGGTCTAGAGAATTCACTAGTTCCTCACTGGTGCGTCGTATTGAACGTTCGCTGTGTTACCTAGGTAACAGTCGTGTTATTAGAACTTCTGAACGGAAGTTAATGGCATCTAGTGAAATAGCTGGTGAATGCTTATCTTGTAACTATAAATTGATGACTGCTAATGTCATCCCCATGTTAAATTCATGGGTGAATTGCTTTGCTGGTAATCTGGTGGGTAGCTAGTGGTGGTTACCGATAAAGAGTGAATTCAAAAGTGTCCTATATGTGTTTTTATTATTTTGAGATCAAAACATATTTAGAGGTCGCTCAAAGCGATTAAGTTTTCCATGTACAGTGAAACGCGCTTAAGTACCCCCCCGCTTAAGTACCTAACCCGCTTAAGTACACAACATATTTGGGCAATGTGAATTTTTGAATGTAATCTGAAGAAAATCTCTCTGTTAAGTACCTCCCCGCTTATTTACTTAACCCGCCTAAGTACCTCAATATTTCGTACCCCGTTTACCATTTTACCATAATTTTCCCCTTTTAAGTGCACTTTTAAAATTCTTTAAAATATTTAAATATTTTGAAATTCAGTGGCAGCGTTACACACCTTCGGGAAAAAATTATAAAAAATAAACGGTAATTTTTAGCTACTTGAAACTTGCACATTATTACACTTAAATTGAATGGTCTATAAAACTGTACACACAAAAAACACTTCTGAGAAAAAAAATTTTAAATTTTGGTGAATTTTTTCTTTAAGTTTTCTATAAAATCTTAAGCTTAGGTTTATATGGTATTTGTTAGGGAATGTATTATATGCTGTATTTTAATAAAAAATTCTTAAATAATGCTACGGTTACTTTATTAAAAGTTCATGCTTTATTCAAGGATTTACATATTTATGTGAGTCTACAAAAAGATGTAACTACATCAATAATTATGTTCGCTTAAGTATCCGCATAGAGGTTCTTTTAAGTACCGGGTTCTTTTAAGTACCCAACCCGCTTAAGTACCTCAAAAAGCTGACANTCCGCATAGAGGTTCTTTTAAGTACCGGGTTCTTTTAAGTACCCAACCCGCTTAAGTACCTCAAAAAGCTGACATTTTTCGTGAGGTACTTAACCGGGCTTTACTGTATTTTATATGGGGGAAAAACTTCTCGTAGAAAAGGTATAGTAGAATTCTTCAAAATCAATATTTTTCGATCGGAAAACTTTGTTTCATCTCAAGAGACTTCCAATAATAATAACCAATTGCTTATTTTACCATTTTCCAATACTGAGGACATTGCATTTTTAGGGGACTATGGGTATAGTATTTTTTTCGGCATAGAACAATCCTAGGCTTTATCTTTTCTACATGCATTTTTGGACCACTTTACTGTCCATACTTATGTATGTTTTCTTTCCCCCAGTACACATTTTTCCTTTTACTAAATAGTGACAAAAACGTCATTTTCGTTGGTTTTTCATCATTCATAGATATGTACATATATAAAATAAAATAAAAAAGTTAAAAACGTTCAGGCTTGGCGTGCAATACCACGCATACGCAAAATACCAGAAGAGTCTGCAATTGCGTATATTTTAAAATGCCTTTTACGCAGTTTGAACGACTTTTTTTGGTGAATTGTGTTTGTATATTGTTTGAATTGTTGTTTGTATATTGTAAGTTTTTTACTTCCTTCTATAAAATTTAGCTTGGTATTGCATTTTGCGTATATGTACTTGGTATTCAACGCCAAACGATATGCCTAACATATAAACACATTATATCGAGCCCTAACCGCCAAAATAACGTAAGCGACATTTTTTTCAAAATTTTCTTTTTAATGCAGAAATGCATCTAGATGCTCTAGGAATATTTCTGCATCAAAAAGAAAATTTTGAAAAAAATGTCGCTTACGTTATTTTGGCGGTTAGGGCTCGATATGTATGTAGATTTAAATACGCAATAACTGTTGTTGTATTTACCGTTTGCATCATTTCTAATACACAATTAATGTAGCATTTTACATCTTTGTTGTTGTCCGGTATATTGCCGTCACGCAATTGATCAGCTAGTTCTGCAAAATAATGCACACTGGTTATATTGATTGTGAGAAACATGTTCTAAGCAGGGTTGCCAACTTTTGCATTCTTGAAACCGGCACACAATGTTAAGAAAGCGGGTGGGTAAACTAATATATTAAACAAAATCAATTTCAATGCTTTACATATATTACAAATTTTTTATTTAGAACAACAAAACAATATAACATTTCATAGATACTTACATACATGAAAATTTTCATATATCGAAATCTCAGTGATAAATATCATAATTATAAAAATTCGTTTAAACAACTTAAAAGTTAATTCAAAATTGAAATAAATATCACACCAAATTGAAAATTTCTATATCGATGGCTGAGTGGAAGATCGACCTATCTCGGCAGCCAGTTCGAAAACGCCCTATCTCAGAAAATTTTTCAACATCGTTCTATCTCAGAAAACTTTTCAAGAACGCCCTACTTCAGAATTCGATTGGGAAACACCCTATCTCAGAATTTTGTTGAATAATCTGCCGATTCAAAAACGCCCTATCTCAGCTTATTTTCAATGTATTTTCGTTTGAGATAGGGCGCTTTTGAACCGAATACTGAGATAGGGCGTTCTTCAACAAAATTCTGAGATAGAGTGTTTTTCAATAAAATTCTGAAATAGGTTGTTTTTCAATAAAATTCTGAAGTAGGGCGTTCTTGAAAAGTTTTCTAAGATAGGGCGTTTTCGAACCGGCTGCCGAGGTAGGTCGACCTTCCACTCAGCCATTGATATACAGCTGGGAGCAAAAATGAGTACATGGTGATTTTTTTTTTAAATTTGCAAGGTTTTTAAAGTTAAAATTTGTTTGCTATTTTTTTTTTAAATGTGGTTCGTGCTTTAACCAAAGCCATATAAATCAACAAACTTTATACAAAGCTTAGGAAAACTCAACAAATTTTCATTAAGGTTTTAAGCAGCAGAAAAATCGCGTTGATTTTGAAGATTTTTTTGCTTTTGTGGTTTTTCCATATAGACCAATTCCATCTCAAATCATGCAATCCGACTCCGATTCACTTGAAATTTTAGTATATTATTCTACTTGGAAAATAAGCGCACACGTATTTTTTTATTTGTTGGTACCATTAAAATTGCATATTTCATGCACTTTTGAAAAATGATTCATCAAATTTCCATTTCTCTAAAATCTAAAATTTTGTTGTTCTAATTCGTATTTTTACAGGCATTTGATAATAACATCACCCATAGTATCGAAGAGATATATACTTTTTTCAAATGCCTGTAAAAATACGAATTAGAACAAAATTTTCGATTTTAGAGAAGGGAAATTTGTTGAGTCATTTTTCAAATGTGCATAAAACATGCAATTTTGATGATATCGAAAAATAAAAATATCGGAGTAAATCGGAGATAAATAACAAGTGTAATTTATAAAAACTGTCGTTCATTTATTAATGTCCTTTGCAAAAGTTAAAACTTTGAATGAAAATTTGTTGAATTTTTCAACATTTATATATATGGGTTTGGTCAAGCACGAAACATATATTTAACAAAAATCACGATGTACCAATTTTTCGCCCCACCTAACGTATACGTTGCACAAAACTCAGCAAAATTCAATCAATTTGCATAGCATTGTAGTAGTATAACTAAGTGCCAGTTTGAAGTTAGATAAAAAGTCGCGTTGAGTTTTGGTAATTTTCTTTAGGCTGTTTCTCAGAAAACAAGACTATCGAACGTACTTTACACTCGTGCTTGAGTTCTTTGTTTAAAATTCATTAAAAAAAGCAAACGCGTTTTGGATTTGGAACACAATTACAAATTTTCTTTACATCTGCTTTCAAGAAATCGCACATATAAAGGAAAACAATCAACTTTTTATGCTTATCAGCTAATTAAACGGTGTTGCCACAAATTGTTAGCAAACAGTGTGCAGGAAATCGCAGTAGCAAACAAAATATGGCGTATGCTGTTGATTAGTAAATAGAATTTGTAAAATATACACATTTTTCAAGTTTTTTTACAACGAGATATCTAATTTTCTTTACTTCTGTACCGGGACCGGGACCGGGACATAGCGCTTAAATCCGGGACAGTCCCGCCGAAAATAGGACGGTTGGCAACCGTGGTTCTAAGCAATACATATCTGTGGACAATTGACAAAATAACCTCTTTCAAAATTACAAATTTTTCAGGAGCGAAAAAACATATTAAATGCTTTCCACAACATCAATTTCTTACAATGAAAAAAGCAAAAATGTTTGTTAAAACTGGACACAATTCAATAAACAAGCATTTTGCAATACATTTTTTTATTTAAATATCATACTTTTTTAAATAAGTAGAAAATGTATAAATAAGACCTTTTTTCAAATGCTTTTTTAAACAAAAACTCATCTTATCCCATACAAGTTGTTTTGTCAAATTGAGTTTGAGTTAAGTAGTAAACGCAATTTCGAAAAAATAAGAAAGAAGTTCATTATAAGACTGGCATAACTTTTATATTAAGAGCGTGTATGAATCGGTAACAAAGTTCGCGTAGAGTAAATTTTTAACAACTATGAGGTGAATAAAATTTCTGTAGCTAATGAGGCTAGTGAACTTTTTGACAAATGCATAGAAAATTTTGAAAATCGCAAAGATTGTTGATGTGTGTAATTTTTCGTTAAATAAATGTTTAAATTGATGAGTTGCAATCAACGATCGTAAATGTTTTCTTAAAATATTAATTTCTCTTCAATTTTTAATATTTCATGCCGCATAAATCTGCGGTTACCAAAAATTTAAAAAGATTTGATTTCACACAGCAGATTGGCAAAACTGTCTCCCCATAGTAAAAATATTATTCAACAGCTTTCCCCATAGAACTTTTTTACCGATTTACACACGCCCTAAATATCATATTAAACAGTTTTTTTTTCACTTTGTTTTAACATAGTTTAGTTTTTGTTTACAGTTTTATAACTACATTGAAAATAAACAGAAATGTTAAGGTAGCGATATGATTCTATGAAAAAACTCGTTTCATTTAAAGCAGGGATCACACGATTTGCACTTTTCTACAGTTACAGTGTTTGGAAAGTTGTTATTGAGCTGAAGTTCAGCCAGCCAATCGTCCCGTTTTCGGCAGGACTGTCCCGTATGATCCGGTCCCGGTACAGCACAAGCCGGGACTCAAAATGTCCCGGTTTTTGGCAAGACATCTCGTTGTATAAAAATGTAGAACTCTTAAAATATATATATTTTACAAATTCTATTTACCAATCAACACTCCTACTACCACGATTTCTTGCAGACTGTTTCATTAATAGCTAAATGTAATAAAGAAATTGCGCAATGCGAAAGTGCCGTGTATACAGCTGTTTGAAAACAATTTGTGGCAACGCCGAATGAATTTAAAAAAGAAAAAAGAGTTCAAGCCGTGGCTTCTTAAAGAAGATGCGATTTTCAACCAAGTTCAAGCTGGCAAATTTATTGATTTTTCTTGAGTTATGCACAAAGTCTAGAGATCTTTTTGTATTTCTTGTTGTAGCATAACTATATTTTCATAAAAAAATTCGCGGAAAAATTTAAGTAAAAAGTTTTCCATACACTGTGAAAATTTCTTTCTGCCAATCATTTTGTAATACACAAATATATCGAAAATTATAAAGCCATTTTCAGCAAGAATTAAAAGCAAGAAATGAAACCGTATCCAAATAACGCTCCGGTTTCGGTTTCAGTTTTTCAAAGTTTTTCGGTTTCGATTTTGGTTTGGTTCTTCAAATTTTGTTTCGGTTTCGTTTCGATTTTGAAAAAAAACTATCAAAACAAGTTTGACAAAAAGAGTACTTATTAAACAAATATGTACCCTACAAGGTTAGCTAAAACTTGTTTGCGACTTTGAACATTGTGGTTAATTTTAACCCATATGAAAGGTCACGTTCGACAACTCATACATGTGAGCAAATCGATAGTAATTTTTTCAACGTGTAAACGCAAAGTAACACTTTTTTTTGTTTAATTTGCACGTTGCACGGTTAAGAATTTGCTTTCAAGTTGTAACACACTCACTCTTTTTTTAATAACACACTCGCACCTTTACAACTTGACCATCGACTTGATGTCAATTTTTCCTTTCAAAACTGTAAGTATACATGCTCAGATTCACTAACTTCCAAAAAAAAAAATTGTTTATACTAGATTTGACCCAAATAGGAAAAGGGATTAAAACAAGATAATTTAGGAATTTAAATAATCTGAGCCTGTATTATACTTAAATGGCATGTAATCAATGTATTCTTACAGTTTCGAGCGTTTTCATTTATCCTAGAAAATTATATTTACCTCAAAAGGAAATAACTCATTTTTTTACGTGTAATTCCTATAGGAAAACTAAAGGCTCGACGCGGGATCACTTAAAATTGTCCTAGAGAGGGGATATTCGTGGAGGATCATTACTATACCAAATGCTAAAATTTTTGTGACATGCATACATTCATTTGTATTTTTTATTGTTGAATACTTACTGGCAATTCTTAAAACTATCATTGTAACAATTGAAAAGATTCTTACTCAGCGCCTGAATTGGTTAGCGTGAGAAATATTGCATGATTGTCCTTATCACATCTTCGAGACGATTAGAGAATTACGTAAGAGTGTCGAATATTTTTGAAGTTTAATCAATTATGGATCGCTAATTCCTTTTTTATTTGAAATGTCTCTTGATCGTGTAACGGCACAGTTATGCTACTGATTTATATAGTTTTCTCGAAACCGATTGGAAACCTGTGCTTGAAACGGTTTGGGTTCGTTCTTTTTCTGGTCTAAACAACGGTTACGGTTTCGTTTTCGAAAAATCAAACAGTTTTAAACGATTACGGTTTCGGCTTTGGTTTCAATCGCTTTTTTCATTGAAGTATCGTTTATGAAAATTTTTATGTATGTACATATGTATGTATCTATGAAATTTTATATTGTTTTGTTGTTCTGAATAAAAACTAATTTAAAATTAAGCATTGAAATTGATGTCGTTTAATATGTTATTTTACCTACCCTCTTTCCTAACAGTGTATGTTCTGGTTTCAAGAATACGTAAGTTGGCAACCCTGAGCTGAATTCGTTATTTCTAGACAACAACACTTTATCACCGCCAAAATGTACAAATATGTGCAAATGTACAAATCGTGTGATCCCTGCTTAAAGCTATCTACCAATATAGTGTGTGCATTTTTACCAAAGCTAATTTTTGGAAATCTTGGCAGACACACGTCTCGCATTAACTTAGCTGTGGCCCACATCTGGTCCTCAGAAACCTATAAAAAAACAAAAAATATATATATTTACATATATATAATAGCAATAGCAAAGGTTCTTAAGCGTTTGGCCAAAAATATAGAAGAAGGAATAAACATTTTTTTTTTTCAGACCTATTTTCTTTCACTTTGGTCAGTTAACAAAATACGTAAGTAGTAAATGGGACCGCAATCCGACTTTAATTTTAGTATTTGGTGTAGTAGTATTAGGTATAGCGGAAGAAAATAAGTTATTCTCTTTTGAGATCAATATAATTTTTTAGGATCAATCAAAACGTTTGAAACTATAAGAATACATTGATTATATGCCATTAAAGTATTATACAGGCTCAGATGCTTTATATTCCTAAATTATCCTTTTTAATCGCTTGTCCTGTTAAACCTAATAACAAAAAAATTAAATCGAATTTTGAGAATCTGAGCATGCATAGCACGTAAATGCACAGTGGACCAGAAGACTTGAAAAAGTGGCCAAAATGGTTGCTTGACTATTTAACCCTGAAAAATCAGAAAAACATATTTTTATAGTATAGCTCAACGGTGGGCAAACGCGACACTTTGAGCCAAATGCGGCCCTTTGCTTAGTAAAATGCGGCTTTTTTTACTTGCTCTTTGCTTAGAACATTTTGGCTCTTTTTACTTTTTAAAATACATATTTCTTTGCTGGAGTTTCTTTTCCATTGTGTTATTTTTATTTTTTTTTTATTATTTTAATATACACATACGTAAATTGAGATCGGATCATTACCCGCAATTGCAGAATGAAAATTGGCTTTCTGACTTAATGCTCTTTACCTATATGATGGAACATTTGCAAACCTTGAATTTGTCTCTGCAAGGAAAAATAAAATTGTTTTGGATTTGTCGCAAATTATTATTTTTTTTTTGAAGCTAAACTACATACATCTTTTTATTCATGTTCTCAAAAAAAGAATACTTCATCATTTTCCGTGGCTATGAAAAAAATATTGCACATGACTTAAAAACGGATTTTGAAAAATGGCTTGCCGATATGAAATTATTTAAATGTACTATATACTTCATAAACCCTTTTTTTGTAACATAATTGAGGATGAATTTACAATATCCGAAATACTCATTTAAAAAAAAAAACGCAGAAGAAGAATTGGAGTTGTTGTAATCAGAAGAAGATAAGGCACTGGAGATGCAACATAAAGCTTTACCATTACTTGAATTCCGGCAACAAGTCCAGAAATAAAATTAACGCTGTTGAAAACAGCTGGGTGCCGTGTATTTTCAATTTTTGTTACAAAGTATAACTGTCAAAATACAAAGTATAAAAGTCTAAGTACCGTTCACAATTGACTAACCAACATTTAACAGAACTGTTACGAACGGTTTCAACTGACGTAAAGCCAGATTTTGAAAATTTGGCCAAAGCGATAATGTTTTACCTTTCTAATGATAATTTTATTTAAAAATTAAATTTTTGTTTATGTTCTTTGTTTTTGTAGCTTTAGAATTTACATGTGGCTCTTTTCGGCCCCGGCCTTGTCCATCGAATAGAATCACGAGTCCAAAAATTATAAAAATCAGAGAGGCACGTACTTTGGTTTTAAGTTTAAATAGCTTTAAACGTATTAACAATTTAACGGTATTTTCTAGAAAAAAATTTAAAAAACAGGGTTGCCAGGAATATGAAAATTTATAATTATTCAAAGGCTCCACAGAATGCTTCAATTTCTTTAGTAAAACAAACACCGTTTCAAAATACAAAAAAATATTTTGGAGTGGAGCTGCCACCTTTCTAAAAAGTTACAATTACATTTATTACAAAATGTATGCTTATTTAATATTACAATATGGGTATCAAACGGAAGGTGTTTGAACAAGCTTAAAGACTAAAACATCTTTAAGTAGGGTCGCCTATCTATCAACTAACGCTATCATTTTTATACCCGCGCGCACTTGTGCACAAGGGTGTTATAACTTTGTTCACATAACGGTTGTTTGTAACAGGAAAACGAATCAAGATAGATATGGACAAATGTATACATAAATGATCAGAGAA